CTGAACAAAAAAAACTCAATCTTCTTAATTTTACATCGATTCCTCTTCGATGAATGTAACCCATTGGCGCCTCTCGCCGAGTCAAATGGCACCCACACTCGTTCCCGTCAAAAATGCACAAAATTCGCATGTGTTCCTGAAGAACCACCATGGCGGAATTCGGCAGAGGAACCAAACCGAATTTTCGGGTCCGTCGGAGCTAGCAAGTCGGCGCGGCCGATCCTCTGTCAGCGATCTAGCTGTTAGATCCTCGTTCGCGGAATCCTTCCAAGTTTCTCGAGGAACAGTCCCGGAGGGTAGGAGGAGGTAGGACCGCAAGGATACTCGAAGAATCCTTGGCCGAGGGGAGCAAAGAAACGAAGAAGAGAGGAGAGCCCGTCCCTTCGCGGTCGCGCCGCGGCGCTGAACAGAGAAAAACAGAGGAAGAGAACGAGGCGAGCGAGCAAGAGAGAGAGAGAGAGAAGGTGGAACAGAGAGAAGAATCGCGTCTCCTCCTCGGTTTCCAGGTGCGCGATTGCTTCTAATTGCCCGCGCGCTGGCCCCGAGGCCCTGCCAAAGTGAAATTGCTCCCGAGCCGAAGGAAGACCGCGGCGCGGACGCCAGGCGACAACGAGTCGGCAGAAAAACGGCACGGGGAAGAGAACCACCGGCTCCCAGGGTCGTGATCCGCTTCAGGAACCGACGCCGCCTCCGATTCGAAGCGTTTTCACTAATTAACGTGCGGCTCCGTCGCGAGGTTTTGCGCCGCCGGCCGACGAGGAACTCTGGCCAAGTCTCGTGCTCTCTTCGGGTTGAGCAATCGCTCGAACCTCGAGCCTGCTCTCTCTCTGTACTTCCTCTTCCGGTATCCGGATTCGAAATCGCGAACCTGAGGGAAACGCGGTTTCGGGAATGTTCGAATGTCCTGCGTTCGTCCCATCGAGTTGCTTGTCGACGCGCGTTTTTACGCGTTCTCTTTCTAGGGACACAATAGGATTTTTATTATTCTTGTTGGGATTATAGAATGGAAATGAATATGATTCTAATTCTTTTCTTAAAGAGACTTTATTTTATTCCTTTATTGAGAGAAGGTATATGGGCGAAAACGATCGAGCGACCAAACTCTACTGAGAGTCCGGCAAGAAAAAACGCTTCTTTTATACCCTTTTTGTGTTCGTCTTGTCCACCAATCAGAGACGTTTTCTTTGTCGCGTTTCACATTGTATACGTGACGCTGGGACCCCCAAACAGTCAGGGTACGATGTATATCTAATGGTACCGGTGATGATGTATCGTGGTATCTACTATATACAGTTTACATCACCGTCTTTGCCCGCTGACGGAACCGGCGAAAATGTAAACCGATATCTTAGTATCTTAGTACTAAGTAAACTATAGATTAATTTTTGTTCGAGGCTAAAATTTCAACAATTCTCTTAAGGCTCTTAATTATTCTCTTAAGGCTTTTAATTATTCTCTTAATTTTTATTATTCTCTTTTCTGTGTCGAGCAGTTGAGAAAGCCATGATTAATAATCGTTAGACTGCGGATTTTATGCATTTTTGACCAGAAAAAGTCGAATACAAAACTTTAGAGACTTTGAAAGAATTTGAGAATATTTTTCTGACACTTGTTGAAGTTATCAGAAAGAGAAGGACGTTTTTATTTGACTTAGGTTTCTCGCGATCGACTTGGACAATTTTTTATTTTATATAAAGATCTGCAGTCGAATTATCGTCATTATTTTTCATACATTGATACGAATATAAAGTTATTATCCTAATGATATTAACGTTAATAAAGCTATTATCTTAATGATATTACTATTCATTATCACGTTCTAAGATAATTACTACGTTGATGAAGTTCAGATTTAAAAACTTGTTAAAAGTGTGTGAGTTGTGTTGCGTGAGTCATAGGACACAATTTCATACGCATGAAATATACTTTCTCCTAGAAAATGAAAATTCTATAAATCAGAAAATTTATTTTAGATTTACGGTTCAAATAGCTTCGAGTGCAAAGGATTAACATTATGATATTAATTTTAAAACACTAACATTTAACAAATACGTATAAAAACTGAATATTTACGCATTCATCGCAATAATGTGTAGATCAATTACGAAACAGTAAAAAAAAATGTTTATTTCTATTCTCTGTTCCATTAAAAAAAAAATGCTATTGTGTTATCATCGAGTCATTGGAACAATTAAAAACAGAGATACCTGTCCACGTGCATCCTGTATCTTGCAATTAAAGCAAACAAACTTTAACACTAGAACTACCAAACCAGTCGAAATGACTGATTTGTCATTTTTTCTTTCGCAGTTCTTAACATTATAAAAATGCCTCTAAGAGAAATTTGTAGAGCAACCCCTCCAATCAAGCGTATATTATATAATAAAAAATCGTATAAAATTCAAATCAATCAAATCTTGTCATTGTTATAAAACAATGTTATAAAAATGCCTCTAAGAGAAATTTGTAGAGCTACCCCTCCAATCAAGTGTATATAATATAATAAAAAATCGTATAAAATTCAAATCAATCAAATCTTGTAATTGTTATAAAAATGCCTCTAAGAGAAATTTGTAGAGCTACCCCTCCAATCAAGCGTACATAATATAATAAAAAATCGTATAAAATTCAAATCAATCAAACCTTGTCATTGTTATAAAACAATATATACCTCGACATGTACATTAATTGCGTTTAGAGCTCGGTAGTTCTATTGTCAAGTATTTCGCGGAGAAAGTGCGCTGAAACGACAATCTCGGTAGACGAACGACCGAGGCGGCAATCAACGCGACATTTCATTTGGCCTAATCGCGATCGAACGGCGGGGAGCAGGGTGCGCGCGGAGCGAATTTTCAGCTCGAATCGCGACGATAACGAAGCAACGCGGGGCGTTCCCGAAAGTATCTCTCGCGACGGTCTCGCGGAGAAGGCCGGCTCTGGTCGGACGTCGTTGTAATTAATACGCGTAGATTGCGATAATCGTTCCGCGGCGCAACGGATTGGTTCCCGCGAGTGGCCGGGACGCGCATCGGGAGCGGCTCACTCGCCGTTGCACCGCGGCGCATTCGCTGCATTTGCATGCCGCGGCGCGGCGCGGTTTTTGCGCCGGGGTCCTCACGGTTATTGATGGCCGGAGCGCCGGAGCGTTTCAGCGTGGCGAATAAAGAGGGTAGGCGTTTCCCGCGAGTCGGTTTCGCTCGAATCCCGCGGAACGATCTTCGCCGGGCGAACGCGAGCGCGTCTTTTTCACTTTACGAGGCTGTTGTACATCCTCTCCCCCCGGCCCTTCGGCCCTCGGCTCGCGAGGCTCGTTCAGCGAGCTCGTCGTCTTGTAAAAGTCAATATTTATGAGGGTGCTAACCACCGTCATCGCTCATCCCGACTCGTTAACCAGCTCCGCCGGCGCAGCTTTGTGTTTACATCCGAAGGACAGGAGCATCCTCTTTATTGTCAGCCCTAAGAAAACACGTCCAGCATCCGGAGTAGCCGACTACGTGTCTGCCCTTGGGCGAGATCTCTCCCTTATCAACGCGCCACCTTTTTCCGTTCTGTTTTTTCAACGCGACAACCGACCTTTTCTCGTTCCGCGGAAGAAGCTTCTGGTCCCGAAAGAAAAACCTACCGGTTCTTTCTCAGAGGGAAAGGGTAAGGCGGTCAGAGGTACGCTAAATCGCGAGAGCCAGCTCCGATAAGCTCTCTCCCCTCGAACGATAAGGATCATCGGGACCGAACGGAGATCGTCTCTCGAAGGATGCGCGCCGATTCGAGGTCTCCCCCCGTTCATCCGAGTATCCGCGATTCCCTTTCGAAAAGGTTACGGATACCGTAACCGCGCGCGGCTCGCGTAATTGCGACACCGCGGCCCGCAAGAGAAAGGTGCAACGTGGTTCGCGGAAGCAACAGGTGCCTCTCTGTTCGCCTGTTCTTCAGCTACACGCGGCCTAGGTCCGAGTGCCGCCATCTCGCCACGGAGACGCTCGTTCCGACACGCGGGTAGCTCGCGAGTCTGTCGATAAGAAGAGACCTACCATTCGTGCGAACGACCAACGAGGTCTCTTTATTAGGACGATCGAAGCGTTTATTATAGGGCGAGAGGGCAGCCTGCAGAGACCTATGGCGCCTTTCTGTGGATCGACGATTTTTAGGGAAACCGTGGACGCTGATTTCTCGACGGGGTTTAGGATGTCCTCCATTGGTAGATATAGGTGTGTGTGTGTGGGCTGTATTATTTAAACTTGTCTGCTTTATTTAATTGTTTATAGTATATAATTTAATTATTTATGGCATATAATTTAATTATTTATGGCATATAATTTAATTATTTATAGTATATATAGTATCCGGTTTGGAAGAGACAAAGTTGCCTAAGAGATTGCCATTTTTTGGGGGTTTTCATTTTTTACAACTAGCATTATCGATTCAAAAATCGGGAAAAATTGTCGAAAGTGCACTTCGTCCGCTGTAATATGTTATGTTCTTTTTCTTTTCAAAATTTATATATGCATTTATATCAGAAAATTCGATGGAAAATCGTTAAACTGAAGACACCTTATAACTACCCTCTGATCATGATGGAGGGTTTTAATCGTTTCCTTTTTATAATTTATCGAATGACAGAATCAATCGTTTAGCTTTGCTCGTAACATTTAATAACAAATTCTAAAACATTGAAGTACAGTTATTTCATATTTTAACGTTGAATTACATATTCTATCTCTTGTCAAAATCCTGATATTCTCCTAACTAATTTGTTATCGCAGCCATCAGTCTCGATCTCAGAATATTCGGTCGTAAAATATTTAACGAAAGGGTTAATCAATCGCAATGGGAAGATCGACGAGACCAGCCTCGGAATGATGAAAAATCTCAGCATCCCGAAGGCTAAAATTACCCCGCTATCGAGTCTCGTTTGAAACTGGCGTACATCGGGCTCTCTATTAGATCCATCGCACCCGATCACGCGGGTCCGTTAATAAATCTGATCGACAGTGATTACTCACCCTCTGACAGTGCTCGGCAGTGACCACGGCGAGGTCCGCGATGGGCTGGAAGATAACATCATGAAATTCGGGGTAGTTTCTAGCAAGCGGTCTCGCGTACAGCTCCTTCGCGCTGCACAGAGCTTCATGGTACTCTTCTTCGGCGTGCAGCAGCTTCTCGGTGGCTCTGTACCTGCGATCGGTATCTGAAACGTACACAAAAACAAGGCAAAGATCAAACCCACGGTTATCATTATTCGTTAGAAATTATTCTATCCATTTATTCGAATGATTCTTTATTCGAATGATTCTTTATTCGAATAATTCTTTATTCGAATGATTCCTTATTCAAACAATTCCTTATTTGAATAATTCTTTATTCGAATAATTCTTTATTCAAATGATTCTTTATTCAAATAGTTCCTTATTCGAATAATTCTTTATTCGAATGATTCTTTATTCAAACAGTTCCTTATTCGAATAATTCTTTATTCGAATGATTCTTTATTCGAATGATTCTTTATTCGAATGATTCCTTATTCAAACAATTTCTTATTGAAATAATCCTTTATTCGAATAATTCTTTATTCAAATAATTCTTTATTATTCAAATAATTTTTTAAAAGTAATATGTCAGAAATAAATCGATAAACTATGAACAAACACTTTATATTCTATCGCCTTTAATCGAATCAATTATTTTTCGTATACGAATATATATATTCTCGTACAAATAAATTCTTATTCAAATGAAATCTAATTCGAATGAATTTTTATTTTGAGTAAAATTTGCAGGATATTATTTTACAGTAACTCATCCAGATAAATTTTTATTCGATTGAATATTTATTTGGTAATGTCGAATAAAATTGTATTCCAATAAATTTCGATCCAGATACATTTTTCATCGATCGAGTATTTATCCGACAGCGTCGAATACGATTTGATTCGTTAGCCTTCGCCCTTTATTCGTCATTCGAATAAAATCATGCCCGACTCTGGCCCCGAGCACCGGGTAGCAGAGCTCGGAGTCTGCCGTCTCGCCACAAGGTAGCACCCACCTCCTATCGGATCGTATTGCCTGGCGGAGTCCTCGATCAGCAGAACCTCCCCGTGCAGGAGTCCCACGTCGGCGGCGGGATCGACCTCGGCCCTGGAGCCGGCGAGCAGCAATCGGGGCCTGCAGACCCGGTACTTTAGCAGCACGGGAGCGACCACGGACGAGATCGCTCCGGGAGACGCGCCAGGCAGCTGCAATCAGACGCAAACGATGATCGCCGATCCAAGGATAGTCTGCTGCGAGGAGCAGCCTTGGCTTTTCCTCCCAGGGGAGCGTGTGAGAAAAATAAGTGGAAGGACTTGCTCGACCTCGAGGTACGAGGAAAATTATAGAACTGTGTCGCGTTGATTTGGTTCATCCTTTTAACCAGTTAGCTGTGGCGCCTCCTTTTCAGAGCCGCGAGAATCGAGCGACGACGAGTATACTCGTCTCGACGCAAAATACTGTCATTTCTCCACGACGAGTATACTCGCCAAGCACAGCTAACTGGTTAAACACTAGACTCGCGGAGCACAAAAAACAGCTGTTTTATATGTTAGTTTATAAAAGTATCAAGAAAATATATATTCTAATTTTTAACAAGTGTTATTGTAACATTTGCCGTAAGTAACGTATAAATTGAATAAATAACTCATAAATGTATCTTTATGGTATGAATAATCGTAAATTAAAAAATTAGTGACCCGTCATTTTGTCGAGCTCCATAAATTTAGTGTTAAAGATGCCACAGTCCGATCAGGCTGACCGGATCATCCCTTATAAGACGCCCTCGCGATGGAACTCTGACGTTTGCTTCGAAGACTTCGCTAGTAAAATAAGTAGATCCCGATAGTTTAGAGGAAGAATGAACCGAACGAATGTCGAATAAACTGAATCCTAATTTCAAGAGTCCTCTGGCTTATCGAGTTTCCCGAATTCGGATCATCCCTTATAAGACGCCCTCGCGATCTCACTTGAAACTCTGACGTTTGCTCCGAAGTGTTTGCTAGTAAAATAAGTAGACCTCGATAGTTCAGAGGAAAAATGAACCGAACGAATACCGAATCAACTGAATCCTAATTTCAAGAGTCCTCTGGCTCTTATCGAGTTTCCCGAACTCCCTTCATCCCTTATAAGACGCTTTCGCGATCTCGTTTGAAACTTTGACGTTTGCTTCGAAGACTTCGCTAGTAAAATAAGTAGACCCCGATAGTTTAGAGGAAGAATGAACCGAACGAATGTCGAATCAACTTAATCCCAATTTCAAGAATCCTCTGACTTATCGAGCTCCCCGAATTCAAATCATCCCTTATAAGACGCCCTCCTGATCTCACTTGAAACTTCGACATTTGCTCCGCAGAGGCCGCTACTAAAATAAGTAGACAGAGAAAGAATGAACCGAACGAGAATTCCAAATCATCTCGATCCTCCTTTCGTAGGAACTTAAGCTTAAAGTCTGACGAAATTCTGGTCATCCCCGTGCGATCCTCGCGATCCGACTCGCACGCATCGCTCGTAATTTCCCGAACGCGATCCCACGTTCGACGATACCTGTCGCCTGGTCGTCTCGATGGCCTCCGGGAGACAGAGCTCCACAGGAATATCCTAATTACGGTAGGGGGGCGGGGCACGCGGCGCTCGTAAAACGAGACCTCGGGGCCCAACTTAGACCCCGAAATAGCTTTGTTATTGCGCGCGTAAAGGCGCAGCAGCCGGTCGGGATTCTTCAGCGCACGAAATTTTTTGGCTGACCGAGAGGACGAAAGAGAGAGAGAGAGAGAAAGAGAGAGAGGGGGGAGAGAGAGAAAGAGAGAAGCGATTAAACGGCCGTTCGAGCGACCAGATCGTCCTTCTTTCTTCCCCCTGTTCCCTCTCTCACTCACTCTCTCTCTCTCTCGCACTCCCGCCGCGGGAGGAACATCGGCCAACGGCCGGATATTTACGATCTGACGACGTAACAGGCTATAGCCCGGTCTCGGGATCAGATAAAATTCGCGAGCCAGAAGTTGCACCGGCGAAACGCCTGCCGCGTCACTCTTCCTCCGGTATTTCCGAGGCGAAGCGAGCGAGAGGGATTCAATTTTCTTCCGCGAGACACGAGGACTTATTGTGATTTCAATTGTAAATCCTACCAAAGGATGCTGCGCCAATGCAATGTTGCGAAATTGCAAGCGAATCGTCGAGGTACCGACGCAGGAACCGCGCTATTCCCGACAAAATGGCGGGTTCGGAGGACTTCGGTGGACTTTCGCGAAGGTTCGTGCCTCCGATTCGATTTTCTTCCTCGTGAAAGACAAGGAAAAATGTTATTTTCGTCTCCCCGTGATACGCTTTTTCATAGAATATTATGACAAATAAATTCGCGGTCGAACGACCGCGCTTTATCGCTAGAACCCGCCGACAAAATGGCGCGTCGCCGATTTTTTCAAAGAGACTCTGATTCATCGGCCACACGAAATTGCAACGCATTCCACGGCTTCCTGCGTGTCAGCAGTCCCGGTAACCGCACGATCTAGCCTGTAACCTTACACCGACGTGACTATTATCGCGGGGGCGATAACGTAGCCGGACAATGCAACGTAATACGGCCGTTACGACGATAAGGGTGAACGGTTCTCGCGTGATCGGATCTTTCTAATCGTCCTTCTCGAAAGTACGCGTCGGATCATGCCTACCGGATGATCATGGTAGACAGCTTTCGCTGCTACTCGTAGCCATCGAAAGTTTAATTAGAATACAAAGAAGATCCGCGCGGCGTGGAGGATGAGCTCGCGGTTGCACGTTCGTCTGCCGTTTACCCGTGAGTTTGGCACGCTACGAAGAGAAGGGAACCGGGAGAGAGAGAGAGAGTGGGAAAATCTGAGAGTGAGAGACAGAGAGAGAGAGAAGTGAAGGGGGGAGGGAGAGTGAGAGAGAGAGAGAAAGGCCGCGCGAAGGTTACGGGGCGAAAAGAAAGAGGAACGCGGCGAAAACGAAGGAAGAAGAAAGACGTACCGGTATAATTATGCAATTTAGATTCAGCTTTACGATTCCGGTTTGGCTTTATTAAAAGCGAGAGTGGGCGGACTCGCGCGCACGCTCACGGTTTCCTCCTCGGCTGCACACACGCGCGTGTCCGCGAGCAAAAACTCTCGGAGATAACGCGATGCTTGTTTCATCGCGACGCGTCGGGTATCGTGCTCTCCTACAGGGAACGGTCGATGAGCGAGAAAGAGAGAGAGAGAGAGAGAGAGAGAGAGAGAGGGGGCGGCCTCGCCGATATACCCTCGCGTTAATCGCAGAAATATCGTTTTACGTTTCGTGTAACGGCGCCGCGGTTTTATAATCGAAAAGAATGCGGCTCCGCGGCGTGCAGCGTGCAGCTGGCTGCAGTCGCTGCGGATCGGACACGGTGCACAATGAGCGCTCTCCGAATTCCTGAACGGTAAGCACGCTGACACTCTCCGCGCCCGGAGAGAAGAAAAAAGAGTTTTCGATATGATTAACGGTACACGGCCAGCGAGCGGACAACCTCGACGACTACCGGATTCTTCGGAATCATACCGATAGTATCTGCCCGGGGTTTGCGCGAGAGGACCCCCCAGGATGTGCACGGGGGCTGATGCCGATGGGCTCCGGAAACGGTGCCAGTCCAGTCTCTCTCGAAATCCTCGGCTTCGTTCTTTAACGCTAGGATTACGGAGTGCTATAAACAGTCATTTTATATTGCGTCATGAAAATAACCAGCACTTATTTAGTCAGACCTTCGGAGACAATAGAGTTGAGCGAAATTATGTTCGTATGACGGATAAGAGATGAAGACTGTATAATAAATTTTAGTAAGAAAATTTAATACAAATAAATGTTATATTAAGATTGTAATACAATTTTGCATAAAATTGTATAATGCAAGAAAAAATTGTAATCGAGATGAAAAAGAATTCATTCGAATTAGAATATATTCGTGCAGAAATATTCATACGAAAATTATAATCGATTCGAATAAAAAATGATAGAGTATTATAATTTAGAATTATTATTAAAGAATTTTCATAGTTCATCGATTTATTCCTTTCATATTCGAAATGACTAAACAAAATCGAGAAGATTGTGAAAAGAAATAAAACAGAAATAGAATAATTGAATATGAATATTAATTTTTTCAATTTAAGGGTGATAATAATTGCGCTTTGCGTTATTAATGGCACTGATATTTCTTTACTGCCAATATGCAAAATCCTTATTTATCTCAATTTTAAGATTAACAGACTTGCACCGATTGACTTCTGAGTCGTTCATATATCGACTCAGTTTTTTAGCAATTTTTATATACATCCAATGAAGCGAATTGATCGAATAAATTCGCCCAAAATGTGTCTTTAGACCTCGAATAACCGCAAACGAAACAACTTCGAACGTGTCAAAACGAGAGAGATGGATCCAGAGATCGCATAATCATCGCAGTACCGATAAAAAGAGGAAAATTCGATCGGAGGAGTCATTGCGGTCTTCGAAGCTAGATTTTAGGAGAAACAGGACGGTTCTCTGATAACAGTGGCCAGCAGCAAGTTCCAGAATAATTGACTCAGTTTTTCACGGTGATTCAGTGTTTCGTAAGAGAACGCGGCCTTCGAGCGTTTCGAGGGACTGTCCCGGCTTTCGTCGCCGCAAAGCTCGCGAACGGAAACTGAGATAGTGGTTCGAGGCTGTCAGAAATCTGGCCTTCCCGGATAGCGCTCGGTCGACCGCAGACCAATGTTCCAAACATAATGCACGGAAGTTTGACTCAACGTGAACACCGCGACAGCGGCGAGTCCACGAATTCTGGAAAACTTGGCCGATTCGTGTCGGTTTTATCGCGCGTTTCGTTGGACGCGTCGTTCACCGGAACGCGCGAATGCCGTTGCACTCTGGAGCAGCATCATGCGAATCGTCGCTCTTCGAGAATCGGCTTTCGTCTTTTAACCCCTTGACATACCATTTTCTTCGCAGTTACTGCGATTAGAAATTTTTCGATTGCAATAATTTCTTAGAAGCGAAAGAAAACTGTTGCTTATTGTATGCCTAAATTCACTTGAATGCTTAAACATTGATGACAAGAGATTAGAAATTTATTGCAATTTTAAAGGACAGAATAACAGTTATACTTGATAAATTATTACTAGAAATTTTCATGACGAATCGAACTCGTCAAAGTATGGCAAGGGGTTAATATACTATATAATATATAATATATATACTATATATTATATATATATATATATATATATATATATATATACTATATACTATATAATATAATATGCTAGCCTCGGATCCGACGGAGCTCGTGAAACGAGCGAATCCGAGGCTTGCGCCGATCTATCGGTCGTCGATCGGCTCTCTCTCTCTCTCTCTCTCTCTCTCTCTCTCTCTCGTTCTTTCTTCTCGTGCGAGAATCCGCCCGGCGTGTTTGTTCGAAACGCGTATGCAATGAGCATCCTGTCCCTCCCAGCCTCATTACGGGACAATGAGCGTCGTTACATCGATCACCAGCCAGACCGTTCTCGACGAGAGGCGGAAGAGAACGCACCGTTTCGCGTAGCCACCACGATCCAGAGGCTCGCGATCCAAATCACCGGGGGTTATCGGGCGATTTTATTAGTCGATTAATCAGTCGCGATTAACCCTCGCCTCGCCCTCGTTTTTACAACTCAATGCGTCCCTCTTAGGTCAAATCGGTTAGAGGCGAACAATTTGTGTTTTGCGAAATACAGTAACGTCTCCCTTACTGATGCTCAGATTGTCCACCAAAATGGACAATTTAGGAAGAGAAAAGATACGATTATTCGAGCCTTACTCGTTTTTATAGTTGTTGATAATCGATAATATTTATCGCTAGACAACGGATCTTCGTGGAAAATAAAAATTCTGCTCAGCAATACAAAACTAAAGCTAAATAAAAACGCGTTTCTTCTCTTCCTAAGTTGTCCATTTTTGTGCGAAATCTGAGCGTCAATTAGGGAGACATTACTGTATTCGTAGAAAGTCATAAAGTCTGAGATGATTTCTTTTAAAAATACCGGAATAATATAATGTCAAATCGACACCAGGAAGGGATGTTAGGGTTGATCTAATCCCTCAAATGAAAGAAATACAGATTGTCCATAAAAATGGACAATTTGGGAAGAGGAGATACGATTATTCGAGCCTTGCGGCTCGTTTTTATAATTTTGGACAATTCGTAACTGTAACAAACAAACCGCAAGGCTCGAATAATCGTATCTCCTTTTCCCAAATTGTCCATTTCTGTGGACAATCTGAGCGTCAATTAGAGAGTCATTACTGTACGTCGCAATCGGACGGCGCGCAGATATCGCACGGCAACCAGTTGAACTGCGTTTCAACTGCAAAATCGATCTCGCAGAAACGATTTGCTTGGCCTTGTATCAAAGTTATCGGCGCCGTTGAAAGTCGTGGAAATGGGTCCTTGATAGCCGGACGCGGCCGCTCTAATCAATACCGGAATTGTTCGCGAGTTCTGAAAGCGGACGCCTACGGTTTCCTGTGATCTGGGAGGACTCGAATCGACGCTTCAATATCGAAGTAAACAGTTCAGCAGTGGAAGCAGCCGAAGGACCACGTGAATCGATATCGAACGGTGATAGAAAATGCAGATCATCCGGGCGTTGATCGTCGCGGTGCTGACCGTCGCGAGATTTCTGACCGTTTACTGCGTTGATTCAGATCTCACGACCGATGGAGGTAAGACGTGTACAGTAAATACAGGAAATCCTCTGAAATTGTCCCTTAATTATGATTACCTAATTTACTGATTCTCCGTCGATTCAAAGAAGATACGTTTTCGCTTTTGTTATAGTAAAAATGGGTGTTCATCCGTATATATGTATATAAGTGAATTAAATTAAATTAGTTGCACCCTAATTGGCTTCGAGGATTCGCTTTAAAAAAACCATAGGAAGGGACCGAGAGTTTTTCTTAACCTTTTCCTTAACCTTTTTCCCTATAACATGTATGTTCTTAGTGCATTTTTGAGTCTTGTGACTCGTGCAATGATTACGCTTTCAACAGTTTTGCAAATATAACAAAATTTGACAATATAAAAATTATTTTGAAACGCGATATATGAATTGCAGATGGTAATACAGTAAATTCTGTAAATTCTGACCATTAGTTTGTGTACACAGAAATGGACAATTTGGGAAGAGGAGTTACGATAATTCGAGCCTCGCGGCGCGTTTTTATAGTCGTTGACAATCGGCGACTATAAAAACGCGCCGCGAGGCTCGAATTATCGTAACTCCTCTTCCCAAATTGTCCATTTTTGTCTTCTAGCTAAGAAACAATTTGAGAGAATTTATTGTAGTCTGTTTTGAAAGACTCTGAATCGAAGAACAAGTTCCAAGACACGGACTTTGATTAACGATGAAATCTGATCGATTACGTATAACAGAATATATATAATTCGCGAAACATAGTTGCTTTTACTCGGTAGCTTACCCGAATGGACTCAACGGATCCAGCGTAGGAGTAAGCGATCTGAACCACACAGAGGCCCAGCTGATCTATCTGGACATAAACGAGTGCGACACCGATAACGGTGGCTGCGGCAAATTTGTAGAATGCATCAACACGATGGTATATATGTATACAATATACTATACGTATATAATATTGTATGTATTATGTTGTATACTCGTCATTCACGTCGTTTCTTAGTGATTTCTTAGTATTTCTTAGTATTTTTTAGTATTTCCTAGTATTTCCTAGTATTTCCTAGTATTTCTTAGTATTTCTTGGTATTTCTTGGTATTTCTTAGTATTTCTTAGTATTTCTTAGTATTTCTTAGTATTTCTTAGTATTTCTTAATATTTCTTAGTATTTCTTAGTATTTCTTTATACTATTTCTTAGTATTTTCTTAGTATTTAGTATTTATTATGACTTCTCGTCATGGAGAAGTGGCAGTATTTTGTGTCATGACGAATGTACTCTTGTGTAAAAAATAGTGAGTATTGTAATTTTATCGAAAACAATTTTTAGTGAAACATCCTCAAATTTCAAGATGTTTAGAATATTTTGCGGCGAATCCTACACGAGGGTGTTTACATTGTTATAAAAAAAATAAGATTAGAAAAGAATCACGATATTGCTGTTCGACGTGCAAAGCGCCATTACGTGTCGTTCCTTGAATTTTTTTAACTTTTACATGTATTTGATTTTTCCCGCGTTTCTCGTTCATTACGTATATAACATATGTTAATGTCAAGTGAAAATAAATAAATATTAGTAATAATTTTATAAAACAAAACCGTCCGTTTGGTCCAATATTTTAACAGCGTCGCTTACGTTGTATTTGACGAGTGTACTCGTCGCCACAGTTAACTGATTAAATATTTTGATCCGAGTCGTTCTTTTAGGGATCGTACGAGTGCGGCACGTGTCTACCAGGATTCCTTGGCGATAGAACGAGCGGCTGCAAGCCCGATGGACAGCTTTGCCCCGACGAGGTTACAGTGTGCAAGAGCAACGCTACGTGTGTGAACACAGGCGCCGGAGCTTATGTCTGCAAGGTAACCGCTCCATCTCGCGTCAATATCCCCTTCACCGACTCGATTAACGAGACGATTACGAGGAATTAATAAGGAACCGAATTTACTGACAGTGCCGTGCCGGATTGGCGGGAGATGGCCACGAGTGCGGCGCAGACAGCGATAAGGATGACATACCAGATGAGAAGCTTCCATGTACCGCGCCAGAGTGCAACGCGGACAATTGTTTAAAAGTGCCGAACAGTGGCCAAGAGGACGCCGATGGCGACGGAATCGGCGACGCCTGTGATCCGGACGCCGACAACGACGGCATACCAAATGTCAACGACAACTGCCCGTTGTATGCGAACCCCAGTCAGAAAGACACGGACAACGACGGAATCGGCGACACTTGCGACAATGACATCGACGGCGATGGTGAACGGATGCGAGATCGCTTATACCTAGATGATCGTATATTCGACGTTGTTCTCATTAGGATGATTTTCAGGCGTACCGAACACCGTTGATAACTGCCCGTACAACGACAACAAAGGTCAGGAGGACGCCGACGAGGACATGATCGGCGACGTATGCGACAATTGCCCCAATATCAGCAACCCGGATAACTCGGACAAAGACGATGACGGAGTGGGCGACGTTTGCGATAAGGAATAATTGTTATAAATAACGAAAGACGGCCGATCGCGCTCCATGCTTTGCGGTTCTACAGGGTGTCCCAAAAATGCGTCGTAATCCGGGAATGGCGGGTTCCTCGGATCATTTGAAGCAACTTCTTCCTTTACAAAAATTTTCTCCGAGGCACCGTTAACGAGTTATTAACGAAAAACAGTGACCAATAAGAATCGAGTACGGCTAACGCGAGGCGGCCCAGCCAACCAGCGCACGAAGCCCAGTTCCACTCATTGGCTCGGTCGCCTCGCGCCAGCCGAGCTCGCCTCTCATTGGTCACTGTTTTTCGTTAATAACTCGTTAACGGTGCTTCGGAGAAAATTTTTGTAAAGGAAAAAGTTGCTTCAAACGACCCGAGGAACCCGCCACTTTCGGATTGCGAGACATTTTTGGGACACCCTGTAGTTTAACATTTCCGTGGGTAAAGTTGCTCGTAGGCTTTTCCTCGTCGCAGTCGACGAACGCCAACGTCCTGCGATTTATTCGAGCCGGTGGACAGGATATACGGAGCCAGCCGGGCCACCGTGACTTTTATTTTCAATCGGAATTTCAATCGATGACGCGAGAACAGGCTCCTTTTCCAATCATGCTCGCCATCACCCGCGCGCCTGTCCCGTCTAGATTGAAGCGGCGCGACCCTGTTCTCCAATGTAGAAACAATNTTTACAAAAATTTTCTCCGAGGCACCGTTAACGAGTTATTAACGAAAAACAGTGACCAATAAGAATCGAGTACGGCTAACGCGAGGCGGCCCAGCCAACCAGCGCACGAAGCCCAGTTCCACTCATTGGCTCGGTCGCCTCGCGCCAGCCGAGCTCGCCTCTCATTGGTCACTGTTTTTCGTTAATAACTCGTTAACGGTGCTTCGGAGAAAATTTTTGTAAAGGAAAAAGTTGCTTCAAACGACCCGAGGAACCCGCCACTTTCGGATTGCGAGACATTTTTGGGACACCCTGTAGTTTAACATTTCCGTGGGTAAAGTTGCTCGTAGGCTTTTCCTCGTCGCAGTCGACGAACGCCAACGTCCTGCGATTTATTCGAGCCGGTGGACAGGATATACGGAGCCAGCCGGGCCACCGTGACTTTTATTTTCAATCGGAATTTCAATCGATGACGCGAGAACAGGCTCCTTTTCCAATCATGCTCGCCATCACCCGCGCGCCTGTCCCGTCTAGATTGAAGCGGCGCGACCCTGTTCTCCAATGTAGAAACAATCCGTTTGATGAGCGGTAAATGGTCCCACTTGGCTAAGATTTTCAACGCGGCACGCGGTCGCCGGACTAATTTTTTTCAATTCGGAGAATTGCATCATTGACCAATTACCGTCTAGGAGGGGCCCACGATGGAATTAGAAGAAAGCGACCGCGACGTTCGAGCACGAGCGCGCGTGTCGGGCATTGTTTCGCGTCAACGAGCCTGGGTCGCGACTGTGCTATGCTCTCTCGGCCGTTTAGGGTCCCTGTTTCGACTATTCCGATCGGTATATTCGTCGAGGAAAATCGAGGAGTCGCCGGACCTTGCATATTTGTCGAAGAGAATCAAAGCGACGAGAACAAAAAATTTACTGAAGCTTGGTCTACGAAAAGGAAGCTGACTCTTCTCTTGAAACTTATACAGACATCGACTACTTTGTAAATCTTGAATACTACTATCGTGCAAATTTGTACACATTTTGTATTTCGAAATTCTTGAAAGAATCTTTCAGAGGAAATAATTGAATATATTTTTTAATTCGAGAGCATGTTGCGATTAAAATAGCAAGATGTCTAGACAGACTCAGTCTTTCAATTTTACTGTATTTATCTTAATCACTTATTATCGTTATTCTTGTTTCTACTGTATTATTTTAATATCTTTATGATGGTACTGGTATAATTGCTTTTATGTCGCCTGTGTTGCAAATTATTATTATCTTCGGCACAGCAAAGTCTAATAAAAATTTGAAATGAAAAATTTAGTATAAAAAGTCGTCGGACCTTGAACATTTGTCGAAGGAACGAAGGAAATCGAAACTTTGCTAAATCCTGGTCGAAGAAAAGCGAAGCTGACTAATCATCCCTCGAAACTTATGCGAACGTCGGCTGCTTTGTAAATCCATAACCCTTGACTGCGGCGCACTTTCGGAGAGAACCATCGAATAAATTAAAAATATTCAGTCTTTAATCTACTCTAAGTCGTTTGCTAAGCTATTTTTAATTTAATTAACTTGGACATTCCTTCGATAATGATTGGTGGTTCAGTATAAAGCGTTAATAAATATGGCGTGTATTTACGTCTTTCGTATACAATTGGCAGACTTGTGAAAGCGTGTATATACAGGGTGTCCCAAAAATGTCTCGCAATCCGAAAGTGGCGGGTTCCTCGGGTCGTTTGAAGCAACTTTTTCCTTTACAAAAATGTTCTCCGAGGCATCATTAACGAGTTATTAACGAAAAACAGTGACCAATGAGAGGCGAGCTCAGCTGGCGCGAGGCAACCGAGCGAATGAGCGGAACTGGGCTTCGTGCGCTGGTTGGCTGGGCCGCCTCGCGTCAGCCGTACTCGATCCTTATTGGTCACTGTTTTTCGTTAATAACTCGTTAACGGTGTCTCGGAGAAAATTTTTGTAAAGGAAGAAGTTGCTTCAAATGATCCGAGGAACCCGCCATTTCCGGATTGCGAGACATTTTTGGGTCACCCTGTATACATGTATATGCCTTTGGTAGCCAAAGGGTTAAGTACGATTCGCAGAGTTACGTTACACCGAAAGATTTCGAGAGCATCGAGGATCGGAGCGCTATCGCAACCGAGTTTCCCTCGACAAGTGTACGGATCACGCGCGGTTGCCAAAACGTCGTTACTCAATATCGGTTGCCAATAATGGGTCGAGAGCTACGATTGTCATGCAACCCAGAGAACGAAGGCCACACCAAGCGCAGGCGAGTATATATAACCCGAACACCGCGGCGGCAAAAGGATCGCGATCCTCGTTGCTCGCGCGATCTCCGGTGTCTCCTCGGGACCGATCGAATTCGCCTAACTAGAAATCCGTTTTCGTCCAGTCATCGACCGGCCGATCCGATAGCGATCAAACCGGCGAATCAAAGCGCGTGCTCGACAGAACGTTTCGGGGTTTCAGTGCCCATAAAAATGAGCATAAACGAACGATAAAGCGCGGAACGTTTGATATCGGACGGCGAAATTGATAGCCGTGTAATAAAGTTAACGAGGAATCCTCGGACATTTGTGCGAATGTTGCGCGCGAGGCTCGACAACGTTGCGTTCACGGGTACGAAACAGGGGTTGAAAACGCCTGTTATAATTAGATCCCGGATCTTTGCGCGAACTACGTGGACGTTTGTTTCTTTCGTTGGTAATTCGAATAATTTCATGTCGATCGGTTAGTCAGTGTACTACGAGTGTGCTCGTCGTAACAGAAAATGTTGCTATTTCTTCGTGACGAGAATGCTCGTGAAAAACAGCTAAATTGATTAAGAAGGTAGATACTTTGATATCCTTTATTAAATTATGCATCTTATTAAAGTGACGTGTTTCAGTAAAATATGAAGATAATCAAACATATACAGTGTAATAACTGTAACTTGTGCACTTTCCAAAGAAATTGCATCAGCTAACTGGTTGATGCAATGATACTTTTAAATTGTTCCCTATTTTGCATTCGATCTAGTTATCTTTGTCATAAATGCATAAAATTCGCAGTCTAGTTATAATTCAATTCAATTTAATTCAATTTAATTTAAACCTTTGCACTCGAGTGACGACTCCGAGGCGCCATCAAATATTGTTATATCGCGTTTGAAAATACTTTTTAACATCGCCGAACTTTTTTTATATTTAAGAAACTGCGCAAAGTGTAATTGTTGCTTGAATCATAAACCTCAATGTCGCGCGCATAAAATGTAATAAGTGGTATCAAATGGAAGTATTATAGGCCTGAAAAACTATTTTAATTTTCGAGTTAAAATAGCTTCGAGTGCAAAGGGTTAATTTAATTTAATTTAATTTAATTTAATTTAATTTAATTTAATTTAATATAGTTCATACATATGGACAGACACCCATTTTTATAATAAAGAACAGGGATAAATAACATTAATCCTAACGATAACATCGGTTTCGGTTTCTGAAACAGTTACGAGAGCCGAGAAGATGTTGTAACCGTTACAGGGGTGTGAATCGGTTTCGGTACTTTCTTAAGTAACAGTTACTTTTCTCTTCTGTCTCGATTACGATTCGATTCCGCGTGCATCGTCACATCGATTTCATCGCGGTCCTCGGTTCCGATCGATATTTGTAAAAATGTTAATATGTACAAAACGTTCTCGATCCATGTCGAAACCGTTGTTTCTCCGAGGGCCCGAGACTCGGGCGAGTCCGGGTGGGAGAAAGGCGAGAAAGCCGGGGAGGGGACGTATTTATACGTCGACGGGCAACGCGATGGGCTCATTTTTGCTCGGCCATCCGGCCGACCTTCGTTCCCCGCTGCGGAGGCGGTTTCGCAAAAATAAATAATTGATAACGTGATGTCACTGATCGAATGATTCTCGGAATTTCCATCGACAGGAGAGAAAGAGAGAGAAAGAGAGAGCGCGCAACTTTTCCCCGACCCACGCAGCTGGTCGTCGAACGAAAACACGGCTTCCCACTGACGCCTAGACGAAAGAGCCGTCGTCTCTCTTCGTCCGCGTCGGTCGCCGTTTTCGAGCGTCGGTTCGTTTTCTCTGCAAACACCCGGTAGACGGTCCGCGGCGCAACACATGCGACCGGTATGGGCTTAATAAAACTACCGGTCCGCCGCGTGGACGCAAAAAAGTGTGTGAACGTGGACGCGGTCGACTCGCCTCTCGACTCTCGAGCCGAGTCGAGCTGAATCGAGCCGGGAGAGACAGGCTGCTGGCGTGTGCTAGCCGCGTTCTAGGCCTCGCCCATGCCGGATCGAGCGATTCGACCAATTCGTCGAACCGCAACAACAGTCTAGTCTCTCCCCGTTCTTTATCTCTGTCCCTCGGTCGCTCGTTCCTTTCGCTTAACAGTCGAATCGGCCGACGGGAGCGTGCCTATGCGAGCATCTACGAGCGAACCGTCGCGCGTCCCATCGCGAACAGTC